ATAACACACGCACGCACACACACACATGCACACACACACAACACACACGCACGTGCAGGCGCACGCGCGCACACACACACACACACAGAAAACACACACACACACACACACACACACACACACACGTGCGAGAGAGAAGTCGGCTAGATAGTCAGATGGTTTAATCAGATACCTTATCAATACATCAAACTAACCAGGAAAGATCAACCAGCTAGAGAAGGTCAAAGCAGATGACGTCAACACAACAAGTTCACATCGTATGAGGTCATCGTTCAAAAAACAGAAAAGGTCAACTTAGATCAGCTCTTCTTGTTATCAAACTGTTGGACCATCCATGCAGATAAGATGAAACCAATCACTTTTACTCTCCTTTTCACCGAAAGGAACATTCACGACACAAACCCGCAGCAAATCTCAATTGCTGTGCTCAGGTCGACCACCCATCCCACCCTGAAGAGAAAGTTGGGGCACAATTCCTACCTCATACCAGATAAGTGATTAAACGTGTGCCGAACCACTGATTAACAAGGGCTCGCGCTCACTCCGATTCAAGCCCAACAACAGTGCACAAGCCATCCCTTTTTATGGCCCGTGCCAAAGTCAACCAGCAGTGCACCACGCAAGATTTTCACTTGAAGCGCATTTCGAATTTCCTCACCTGTTGCATATCAGATCCCCTGTAAGCAGATCGGTGCGTCAAAAACAGGCCTTGCTTATTTATGGCCACATTCTTTGGGGAGGAGGGGCTCTCGCGCTGGTGGTTTTTAGTGGGTCCATAAGTCATCCCATTTCACGGATGGTGCAGATGTCATTCCTTCTTGAGGAAGGTGCAAAAGCAACCCCTTTCCTGGAAGCTGTAAATGCCATCCCCTTTTCCAACGAGCCAATGAACTGTTGAAATACAGACCCGAGTTCCAATCCAGCTCCAATCAGACGAACAGAATAAAATAGTTCTGAATTACCTGGGCCCGGCCAGCTCAATACTCATAAATCTCAAGGTCGTCACCCTTTCCGAAAAAACATATAAGACAAAGGAAAAAAAAAAAAGAAACCATCCCCTTCGGAGGCTGGTCCAAAAGCCATCCCTCCCTTTCCATGGAGAGGTGGAAAATTCATTCCCATTTAAGGTGGGTGCCAGAATGGCACTTCTTATGGGGGCCTGAGTGTGTCACACCTGATCACAAGCAAGCACACACCTGTTCCCTATAAATTAGGGATCGCCTGGAACCAAGCAAGCACCTGTTGCCTTGGGCGAACACGCAGGGTAACCTTCAATGCTTGATCGGTCAAAAACTAAGGAATTGGGGCAGCAATTCATAGAGGGCTCTCCTTACCACACAAAAGGACAGGTCTCCGGAAATAACGCCAGAGAGAAGAGGAAGAGGAGAGAGACATAGGGCATCGTTAGACACTCCTTTTGAAATTCTCGGGCAATAGGAAAAATTCGGTTTAAATTCCTAATGGTTCAAAATTAAATTTGGGCCATCGTTCCACCTGTCCTCAGGGACATCGCCCAAGGACATTCCCTAAGAGCGATGTCAAAAAAGAAAAAAGAAAAGAAAAGAAAAAACTACAGTTGCGCTTCCGACCTTCAGCAAATATGGTGCCGCCACGATCCAGATTCTCGACTGTAACGTCTCTCTAAGCGTGTGCCCTCTCCTCTCCGTGAAACGCGGCTTCTTTGTGTCCAAGGAAAGTCCTATTGCCCGAGGAATTTCCTTTCGAGTGTTTACAAGTTTTTTTCCCGATGGCAGCACCAAGGATAGGTGGAACGAACAATTCCTTTGGGATTTTGCGTCCTCGAGGAGTGTCTAACGAGCCCCATAGCCCTTCAGGTTCCGAAATTGCGAAACTATCACTGTGAAGAAAGTCGCGTCGTGGTAGCGCCTTGTGCGTGGAAAAGCAACGACGAAACCCTCCTGAAGCGACCGACCTCGCTGAGCCCCAGGATGCCCTTGGAATGTGCTTAGAAAAGAAGACGTCCACAGTGCAGTGGGTTTTGGGAAACAGAGGTAGCTGTTTTCTGTTTCCCCTCTCTTTTCCATTTACAATTTGAAGTTTTGATTCTTTAAAAGGGGGGAAAAAATAAAATTACAAGAAGGCAAAATTATGCATTCTAGTGCAATGCGCAACAGGAAGGCAGAGCCTTCAAAATACTATTTGCCCTTTGGCAATCGTGCCCAAACATGTCTTTGGGCCACCTCACAGGAGCATAGGTGCACCCCCATCCAACTTCTGAGCAATGCAAGAATGCCAACACACACTTTTGTTCCTTGCAGTGGGCACTAAAGTGACTAAACTCGATTTTCCATATAGCATGGGAGTCTAAAAAATGATAGTTGCACTCATGGGGATCAAAAGAACTCTCATACAACACAACCATGGGACACGCTCATCTTCTGCACACGCCCGTACATGCCCAAATTCCTCCTTCCGAATCTACTAATAAAAACTCGTAAAGCGGGCCTTCGCGCCTGAACGGCAGCGACTGGTGGTTCCTCCAGGGAACACGCCCAAAAAACTCATTTCTCATCATGAAGAAAGGCTGCTAACATTTGGCCTCACCCCCACCATCAACGGCCTACCCTTATAAATGCAGGGGCTGTATCAGAGATACGGTCGTGCTACCGTCTTCCCCTGACCACAACACACCCGGATCGTGAATATATTTGATTAAACCACAGTATGATTCCTAGCCGTTTTCTTCAATGCCGCTGCATGCACGCCACAATTTTTGGGGCTCAGCTGCCAAGGCAAAAAAGCCTGGCGGTGCCAACGAAGACGAGGCTCGCATTGATCCATTTTTCTTTAGCGCACAGGGCATTTCCAGGCTCAGCAAGGGAAGGGTCAACAGTACTGGCAGTTTAAACCACCAGTACACCCAGGCCTGGAGGCCCATTACTGCGCGCCGAGCTTTTCTGGACCTTCAGCAGCGCACTTTCTTTTTGGCTGTCGCGACCAGCCATTGCGGTCCTGTAGGCTGAGCCTCTGAAATTTCCACAGGCAATGAGTTACATTTTCTGCAACGCGGGGGCCGTGCACCAGCGGTTTAAACAAACATTCAATCCTTCCTATCCGATACACTTATGATGAAGGTGGGTTGTCCTCGCAGGACAACAGTAGCCACTATTCCTCCTTTCCCCCCCTCAGCAAGAAAACAACCCGCACACCGACTGCACCCATCCTCATTCACGGAACAACAGTAACCACTGAAACGGTTTTCACCTTTTAGTAAAAGCGGATGCAGTACTCAGAGTTCGATCCCTAGACCTCACCCTACACCTGTACAGTATTTGTGTGAACC